GAATCCTGGGCAGAGACAGAGGGTGGGACTGGAGCTGGGAAGGGCTGGCCAGAAAGTCTCAAGATGGAGCAACCCCGGGAGGACACCTAAGCAGAGTCCCTGCTGCCCAACCTCTTACACCCTATGCTAGCTGCACACCAACTACCACCCAGAAACCCACTTCGTGGTCACGGGCACAGTCTGGCCCTCGTATCCCTATCCCTCCCTCCTTTCCTCCCTCCTTCCCTCCCTCCTTCCCTCACTTCCTCCCTCCCTCTCTTTCTCTCTCTCTCTCTGCTCCATCATTTTTCAAAAATAATTGTGAGACAACTGTACCAGACAGTGGCTGGGCCTTGCCCCAGAACCTGGGTCCCAGATCACTGGCTCAGTTCAGTGTCCCCCAATCCTCACAGGGCGGCCTGGCTGGCAGCTGGGTGTACAGCTTGCCCTGAGAGATCTTCATCCTTCTCTAATTGTCCACGTTTACTTCTCTCCTTTGTCAGCAGTGCTGCGAAGCCTTGGCGGCATCATTAATGCAACTCTAGTGCTCTGGAGTGAGGAGGGGGCTGCCCGGCTGCCGCTCCTCCTCCTGCCCTGAAATGGATGTTCTTTTATTGCCCATAAATCTCTGCACAGTTCTCTGTGAAGACAAATCGGAGGCCTCCTGGTCTCTCGTGTTTGTTGGGCCGGTTGGTGGCGGGTTTAATTGGGTCTCAGCACTCACGGGCGCGGCTCTGGAGAGTTGAGGGGCAGACCACGCCATGCTGTGTCTGCAAGGGAGCAGTCCTCTGCCCTCTTGCTTTGTCTAGGGAATTGAGGCTGGCCCACACGAGAGAATAATATCCTCCTTCACACATCTGTCTGTGTGGGTACCACATGCTGGACCCTGCAATGTGGCCCGCTCTTGCCCATGTAGCCCTGCAGCAGCCCATGTCCATGCTTGCCCAGGCAACCTCAAGCAGAGCCTGTCAGCCCTCAGGAAGCCTTCCTTTCTGTGGCTTATTGGAACGTAGTCGGTCCCTAATAGACACACGAAGCAGCTAGATGCCTAGATGAATGGACCCTGCCTCTCCCTGCCTGTGCTGAAGCATGAAGGGTATTCCTCCAGGCCCAGCCACAGCACTGGCCGAGAGGACAGCATCCAAACTGGAGGAGCTGGGCATCTGCTGATCCTGTGTAGGCTGCAAGTCCTCGTGTGTAACATGCTATCTGAGCCAGGGAGAGATGTGTGTGTGTGTGTGTGTGTGTGTGTGTGTGTGCGTGTGTGTGTTGGATTGCCCTGCTGGTGTGCCCACCGAAGTGAGCTGTGTGTTGGTAGCTAGCTGGGCCCAGTCCGGTTCCCTTCTATCATTGGCTACATGACCTTGGGGGCCCCTTGCCCCACCCAAACCTAGAGTTTAAGGGCCAAGAAGGCTATGGTTAGCCTTGGAAGGTGAGTGGCTGTGTGGAAAGGGCTCAGACACTATGGAGATGCTGATTTTAAGGTTAAATCCACAGTGACTTGAGATGACTTTGGGGCCACATGACCAGATAAGTAATGGCAGTGGTCACATAGTTACCACGGCCTAGAGTGTTGTCTTCCCTCCCAAATGACATCCCAGGGTGCCCAGCACAAGAAGAGAGGTGGATACCTAGAATTCTGTGACATTTCTGTGTTCCAGTGTCCTGGGGCAAGTCTAAGTTCATAGCTAGTATGTAAACAAATGTGACCTCAGGTTCATCCCTGTTCAAATATGTCTCTCCTCTGGTCTTCACACAAGGGATATCAGTGGTGTCCCTGTGGGGCCTTCACACCCCATGCTGAGGAGGCAGAGACCTGGGTCATGGCCTATGGCTAAGGCACATGCCCCCCCCCCCCGCTGTGAGGAGGGACTCCCCACCTTGCTGCAGCTCCCCTCTGTGCCCAGCTGATCAGGCAAATTCTCACTTCTCTGCAAACATGTTTCTGGCATGTTCACAGCCTCACTGGGCACTAACTGGACATCGACTGCTGCATATTCTGCTGCTTCTATTATTTCAGAGCTAATTTAGGGATTAAAAAATAATTCTCCCAATTATTGTGCCAAGTCCCACCAGTGAGATAAACGGGACAGATGTTCCTCCGAGTTCAGCTGTGCAACCCTGAAACACTTCTGGGACACCTTGGTCTCCTGAGGACCTGCAAGCATACCTTACCACCCTCAGAGGGTCCTGAGAGACCTTACGAGATCCAGGCTCTGACACCAGTGCCTCAAGGGTGGCTTGCACCAGACCCATTTCCCAGGGTAGCTATAGCCACTGTGAGCCAGGTTCCAGATGTCAATCTCCGGAAATTATGCTCCGTGGTGTGGCCTTGGCAGGGCTTGGGACACTGAGCCAGGCCTGTGAACAGGGAAGGGTTCTATCATAGGGAGCCCTGTGTTTGGCCTGGAAACCTTGGAAGGGGGCCAGGTGTGTCCATGGTAAAGCAGTGGGTACCCAAGGGGGGGCTGACACTCTGCACTGTGCTTTTGGATGGCTTTAATTAGCTTCCTGCACAAACCTCAGGGACCCAGGGACCCAGGCTGGACACTAGCCAGTGGCCCAATTGATGCCCAGAACCTTACCTAAGGGAGCCAGCTGAGCCAAGACTGGGTGGATAGGGGTAAAGAGGGGTGGGGGTGCAGAATGGAGTCCTGGGTTTTTGGCTCAACCCCCACCTCTTCCAGGTCCCTCCCCATCACCGGCCGGTGATCTCATCCATTCCTGGGCTGTAAATATCACCCAAATGCTCACGACTCCCAAATGTGTCCTCCAGCCGGGCCCCTCTCCTGAGCTCAGCCTGCACAGCCCACGCGACACCCCCGCCCAGATGTCTCCTGGGCTTCAACAAGACGCTCCTCCTGGAACCCCCTCCTCGGGGACAGGCGCCCCTTGCCGGCTGCTTAGGGCAGACGCCTGGGAGCCCTGCCCACCGCCTCCAACCATCCTGTCAAGTCCAACTTGAAACACATCCCCTGCCTTCTGGATCACCCACCCCTCGGGTCTGGTCCCTTCCTGTGCACAGGCCTCACAGTGTACACCACAGCCAGAAGAGCTGTCTCAGAAAATATAGACCCTGCCCACTCCCCCTTGAGACAGTTAGAAAGGATGCATGCTCTCTGTCTCTCTCTCTCTCTCTGTCTCTCTCTCTCTGTCTCTCTCTCTCTCCTCCGACCATTGCCTGCGTACCCTGTCCCCAGCCTCAATCTTCATTGGCATCCTGGCTAGACCATTGTCCCCACTTCATACCATGTCCCAGATTTCTCTCTCTGGGGAGGGGAGCCTCCAGAGCCTCCAGGGACAGCAGGGTCTGTAGAGGCAGGACCCAAGTGATTCATCTCAGGCTGTTTGCCTGGTTACAATACAGCACGTGGCCCGGTAGCCTTCTTTGCCATCACTGGGGGGTTGGCTTCCAATCCCCACCTGTAGGCCAGCTGTTGGTAAAAGAAACAGAAAGCGGCCCGAGGCCAGATATCGCCTGTCAGTGTGGGGTAAGCACAGCATAGGTAGTGAACTCCCTGTTCCTAATGGCATATGACCTGAGATGGGACCCTCTGTCCTATAAGCCACTGAAAGTGTTGATATCTGCTGTAGACAGCCAGCTCAGGCCCCTAAGGTTCTTTGGTCCTGGCTTATATTTCAGAAAACTGCCTTACCTCTGAGCTCTGCCCCTCCCCTGGATTCAGCAGGCTCGGCTGGCTTTCTCAGATAGGCAGGAGCTCCTTATGGATGGTGTGGGGGGGTTGATGAAGACCCCTGTCCACCAGGTGCAGGACAGTAGCCTCCTAGGGTGCTGGGGAGTGCTGATGGCAGCTGTCCTCTTCACAGGCTGTGCACAGAGCCCCCTCTGCTAGGGCTGTGAGGGTTAACAAAGTGTTGAGGATGTCTCCCTAGGCAAGCAGTAACCTCACCTGTGAGACCTGCTCCAATTGCAGCATCCCCGGCCTTGGGACCAGCAGTGATGTCCAGGCCTGGAGCTCAGGCCAGAGTCCAGCGTGCAGAAGGACAAACTGCAGGTGTAAATGTGGGCAGCCCCGTGGGTACGTGCAGTAGCACCAGCAGGCCCTGCCCTGGAGCTTCCTGGGAGAGGCTCCCTGCTGAGGAAGGGCCAAGCCAGACAGGGCCTCTGCACCCCACCTTTGCCCCCAGTCCCTACTCAGATGGCGACTGCTCAGCACATCCCCCACTCCAGCCTCCTCCCCAAGTTTCTGGATCCCTGGCCGCCCCCATGGCCATCTGGCTCCCCAGTTCCCTCCCCCAGTGCCTGCATTTTTCTCCTCCATTTCTCCCAGCTCTGGCCCTGTTGGGGAGGCAGACCCCCTTCCTGTTCCCCTCACCACTACTTCGACCCAGGGTTTTCTGGCCAAGTGGCTTTCCCTTTTGTGTCTGAGGCCTTTCCAGCCAGGGCCTCAGGGAATCACACATGACTCTTCTTGTGTATGCTGTTTGTAAGCACATGCACACACACGTGTGTCTGTGTGGCTCTGCCCTGCCATGTGTGTCTGCTATGTGCGCACGTGTGATCACAGGCACGTTGCTCCTCACTGCGGGGTGATGCGAGGCTGCCAGGCACGAGGGCTGTGACCTCGGGTGGCGGCATGAAGGTGCACCCAGTCCTTTGGAGCCACCCCATTCCTGCTCGTTCTCCAGCAATGGGAGCATGGTCTTTGCATCTCACGTTCAGCTCCTCCTGGGCTGGGCAATCCCAGAGTATGTGTCCCCCGAAAGGCAGCGTGTTCAAAGCCACGTAGAGCTGGGCAGTCATCAACCCAGTCCTCAGAGAGGTTGGCTGAGCTCAAGGATGCCAGCTATGGGACAAACTCACTGGTGCAGCTGGAGGACGGCGAGGATGTCATTTCACTCCAGCATGTGAGTCCCACCCCCCCTTCAGCCCAAACTGCCCCGCCGGTGAGGGTGGGCAGTTCTATCTCCTTTCTGTGCCAGTGTCTGAAGGAGATGCTATGCTGGGACCCACCCTCGTTTCTCACCACCCACAGTACCGCAGCCCAAGAGGCCACAGCTTAAGAAAAAAGCTCTTTATTCCACGTCATCCGATATTTTACACAAGTAAAATAAAATTCATATCTCTATATACCGCGATCCGGGTGGGAGGCGGCGTTCTGGAACAAACGCCACCCCCGGAACCCTGTAAACATGATGGGGTGGAGATGGGGGTGGGCTGGTGGGGAGGCATCTGTCAGGGAGGGCCTGGCCTGCCCCACGGAACCTGTCCCTGGCTCTGGCTGGCGGCATGGAGGGAGACCCCATATGTACACACACCTGGTAGCTGGTGTCTGGTCAGCAAGGCCCGAGCACTGTCCAGAGTATCAGTGCAAGGCCCACGGGAGCGAGGCTGCAGGCCAGAGCAGGCAGGGCGCCTGAGTCCTCTGCTTCCCCGGCTCCACCGCTTCCACCTCCTGCCTGGCCCAGACGGCAGTGGCTGCGGGTGCGATTCTTTCGGGAGCAACCTGGCCTCCTGCGGGGTCCCGTGGTGGGCAGTCCTGGTGGCTCGGACCCCCCAGGCCGTACAGCAGTCAGTGGGGGCTCTGCAGAGCTGGGCAAAGTCCCAAAGGGAGAGTCATTAATGTGCCGTGGGCCTGAGCCGTTGCCTGGTGGAGTGTCACCAGGGGGTACGCGTCCCTTGAGGGCATTTCCAGCAGAAGCTGGCCGCCCGGGTTCCAGCACTGAGGCTTTGTCTGCAGCGTCCGGCTGGCAGCACTTGGGGAGGCCCAGCAGCTCCTCATCAGTGAGCTGAGTGGTCAGGATGGGGTGGAAGGGCCCCGAAGCCACAACACAGCCCTCTAGGTCACTGGCAGCCAGGCGCTTAAGATCACGGCTGGCCAGGCGTGGGGGCAGGCTGCAGGGCACCTCTGACGAGGAACCTCGGAACTTCTGCAGCCAGGCCCAGAGTGGACGTGCCCGGCAGTCACACACCCAGGGGTTGTCATTGAGTCGCAGGTACTGCAGAGATCTCAGGGGCACTAGGACCTCTGCAGGCAGCATGGAGAGGTTGTTGGCAAACAGGTAGAGGGTCATGAGGCGGCCGAGGTCCTGGAAGGCGTGTGGATGCACACGAGCCACGTGGTTCTGGTGTAAGAGGAGGCGGTCAAGACTGTGCAGGCCGCGGAAAGCATGCTCAGGCACGCTGGGGATGCGGTTGCCATGCAGAAAGAGGTGTGTGAGGTTGCCCAGGTCACGGAAGGCATTGTCAGGCAGTGCCTGCAGATTGTTGTCTTGTAGGTAGAGGTACTGCAGAGCTGCCAGTCCACGGAACAGGCCGGGCCCCAGCTCCTGCAGGCCGCATCGGTCTAGGTGCAGTGTGTGCAGGTGGCCCAGGCCACGGAAGGTGGTGGGGTCCACGGCACGGAGCTGTGCATTGTCACTGAGGTCTAGTTGCTCCAGGAGGGTCAGGCCAGAGAAGGCAGTGGCATCAATCCGGGCCAGAGTGTTGGAGTGTAGCCACAGGATAGTGAGATTTCGGCATGACTGGAAGCTGGCAGCGGGCACGTGAGAGATGCGATTGCCATGCAGGAAGATTCGCTGGCTGGAGGCTGGGATGCCAGTGGGCACAGCCTGCAGGCCCTGCTGGGGACAGCTTGTTGTCACCTTGGGCTCATTGTAGCACACACAAGCACCAGGACATGGTGCCGCTACCCGCCAGGCCTGTAGCCATAACATCCATGCCAGCAGCCGGCTTCCTGTAGGCAGAGGAAAGGGTGATCAGATAGGGGTCCTAAGAGGTGGGAATTGATGCTGGAACCAGTTCCCCTTGGGTTGGCCTCAGGGAACTGGGCAGGGTCCAAGGCTGCCAACCCTGGGAATGGGACTATAGGACCTCGACCTTCCACAGCATAGAGACAATACTGGGCTGTGAGCTGTCCTTGGTGATCCTGTCTGCACCTCTCAACCCTCATGCCTTCCTACCTCATACATCTGCTGACATGATTGCTGCACTGTTGCTCACCCCCATAGGGGTTACCCAGGCGGTCACCAAAAACACATATCTAGAAGCCCTTCTGAGGTAGATGCATACACCCGTCTCAGGACTCCAGGGCACACAGTCCCAAATCAGCCCCAGCAGGCTACGGGGTAACATGGAAGTCGGGACTCTGAAAACACCCCGGGAGCAGCTGACTCATCCCTAGGCCTGTCGGGTCCCTGGGCCCAGGATGCAGAGGAGGGGCTGAGGCCCACAATCCACACCCTGCCCAGGCTCCCCCAGCTCTTGATAACCTCTGGCAGCCGGGATTATAGGGAACCCCCTCGAGGCCCTGGAGGGCACAGCCTGTCTGTAGGGGTCTCCTGAGGCCTGGCGTAGGGCTCCTCACTAGCACCTCTGCTATCTGAGGAAGATGAGCCTGGGTGTGGGGAAGATGGGGAGGGAGGGCCTCTCCCAGGCCCCCAGGGCAGGCTGCTCCCTCCTCCACACAGCCTCCCTTTTAAGCACTTCCTGACTTGGCTCTGAACACCTTCTGCAGCCTCCTCCCCCGCCTCATTCTCTGCTCCATCCCTTCCCAGCCTTCCTGCCCATCCCTGTTGCCATCCTACTTCTCCTAGTGGCCCCAAGGCATCAGGCCCCATTCTAAGTTCCTGGGCCAGAGATACCTGGGTGTGGCCAAAGACCTATATTCACAACAGTAGATGCTAGGGCTGGGGTGCCACATTCCTAGGAAAAAAGCTCCTTGGCCTGTCACTAGAGCCCCATCCCTTTTGAATGCTGAAGGCTCTTTCAGGAGTGAGTCTATTAAAATGTGAATCCCCCTGGGAGGGTTATGGCTTATCAGCTAACACCGTCATTGACAGCTAACACCTGTGTTGACAGCTAACACCTTTCTTGGCAGCTAGCTAAGAGCAGGATACTGCAGACAGGAGGCCAAGGCTGGCTAACTGTTTGGAGTTGGGAAAAGACTAGGAGCCAGCCTTCTCTACCCAGCGTTGGCCTCTGGGGACTTCTACCTCACACAGGGCCCCTTACCACAAAGGGTCTTCTGCGTGATGCAGTCTGTTGCTCTAAATCCCGGACCCCACAGGGCAAGCAAGTCTAACAGTTCAGCAAGCATTCAGGCTCTGGGATCCCTCTTCTCAGACTCAGTGACTTCATTCAATGAGCTTGGGTTTGCTGGGCCTAGGGTCATTTCTTGGCAGCTATGGTGGCAAGCCAGGCCCAGGGACCTCCAATCCACAGATGCTTGCCCCCACCACGCCCCAGATTGGTCATGTGTGGGCTTCACTTGGGCCTGAGGCTCTGTTTAAGCAGCCTCTCACATTCTCTTCTTACATGCCCCCCTCCCCACCCGGGACAGTGGTATATGGCCACATCAACACCCCTTGATGCCTTAACTGCTGTCACAAAAGAACACCATGCCTGTGCATAGCACTTCCTGGACCTGACCTCAGGACCCAAGGCTAGTAAGTAGGGGCTTTCATGCACCCAGGGCCAGGCTGGAGATTTTACTGCCACGGGTGACTGGGGGGGGCACTATCAGCCCAGCCACACCACATACTGCCTGTCACCTACAATGCCACACATGTCTTATCACCCATGCTGCCTCACATGCACCGAAGGCACCACCAGTCTCCGTGCCATCACTCCAGTGGTAGACTAGCTCCCAATGCTGAGGTTGCCCACCGATAGCTCAGCTGGGGTCAGTGGGGGTCCAGGGCTGCCCCACAACAGGGAGGTGGACAATCGGAGGAGCGGCTATGTGGTGCCCGGCATTGCCAGGCAGGAGGTAGAAGACACAGCTGAGTTCCTGCTGGAAATCAACTTCCGAGAGGCGGCCCTTCTCACCCACCCTGTGAGCACAGGGGCTGGGGAGGCTCTTCTGCTGTAGCCACAGTAATTGGCTCCAGCCTGGCCCCCCTTGGGGCCTGCCCGCTGGTCTCCATGACAACCCCTGCGCTGAGCAAGCATGAGGGGGCATCTTTTTATGAGATAATCAAACCCAACTTTGCAGCATAGCTTGTGTTCCCAGCAGGAGTTTGGGGAAACACTGGACACCTGACCAGGCCGTGAGGGTGATCCCTAACCCCACCCCAGGGCTGCCAAATTGTCTCTCTGTCTGCCACCGTGCATGGCCTGCTTCTGCTCATCCTTGGGGCTTCTGCAGTGCTTCCTCTGAACTCCAGGTCTGGACCCCTCCACACTCACGCTGCTTTCACTGCAAAACCTGCCCACAGATTACATTTGAGATGGCGGCCTTCCTTTTGGGGAGCAGCCTGGCCCTCTTACCCACCCCCCGTAGGCTACACCTGCCACTCTCAAGCCCTCTCTTTCACGTCCCCATTCTCAGAAGGCACCCAGCGTGCACACGTGGCAGAGTGGGTGGGGTGTGTGTGGGTCCATCTCTCTCACATGGGATCCATGCAGAGACCCCCAGGACACTGCAGCCACTTGAGCCAGCCTTAAAAGCTATGCACAAAGTGATATTTCTCTAAATATACCCCAGGCAATTTTCATCAGATTTGTCTGTGGGTCTCCTCCAGGGCTTTTCTGTGGGGACTCACTAGCTGTTGGAAATGGGTCATGGCCAGTGGTTTAGCTTGGGTCATTTTGGGAGACACAGGGACATGAGGATGTCAGTGGGAACGATCTGGTTTCCTAGTGCACATGGCCTGGAGATTCCCCAGGCAGGGAAATAATGAGACACAGACCCTGGGGTCCTTCTCCACCTGGGGCAGCCAGATCAGGCAGGATACAGCCACTGGCATCTGTACCAACAGATGTGATTCAAGAGCCCAGAGTCGCCATCATTGAGGAAGGAGTAGGGGGGAGGAGGAGGAGGGAGATGGGAGAGAGGAAGAAGAGGAAAGGGGAGGGGGAGGAGAAAGAGGGCAGGGGCAAAGGGAAAGAAGCCAGGCAACCAGAGGATTCAGAGAGGGGAGAGAGGGAAAGGGAGGGGCCAGCTGGGGTGGAGGCTTCTGGGGCCTTGCCCAGCCGCTGGAGCCCACAGGCAGGCACTGCTGAGGTCAGCAGCTCACCTCAGCAGCCCAGTGAGCTGAGACTGCCTTCTTTAGCATCTTCCCAGCCCACTGCGTTCTCGCAGTCTCTCCACCCTGGCCTAGCCTGACTGCCTGTGGGGATGTCCTCCCGTCCTTACAGACCCAGGGCACTGACTTGGTCCTTCTACCAGTTGGGTGCCCTTGGTTCCTGATGTCTCTCTCAAAGGCTACCCCCACAGATTTCGGAGTGCCACAGAGAATCTCATTCTCTCTTCACCACCAGCATCTACTTACAGATGAGGGAACTGAGGCAGCGCGCGCAGGCCCTGCTCCTACACTGAGACGGTTTAAAAGGAAGGAGAGGCGAGGGTGGTGGCGTGCGCTACCTGGAGGGCTGTCAAGGAGAGTCTAGCTAGCTCATGAAGGACAACTGTTAGGTGGCCAGGGCAGCCAGGGGGCACTGGACTTCTGGCCTGCTGGGCAGGCTCTGGGGGCACAGGGGTCTCCTATGCTATCTACAGCTGGGAAGATATCTTCATGGGTCAGAGACCATAGAAGTGGCTGGATTGCTGAGGCAGGCCAGAAGAGACCACAGTTATAAGGCAGAACAGCTCAGCATACATGACCGGAAATAGCTCTGTAAGAGGGTGGAGGGACCAGTGTCATCCCCACACTACAGAGAGTCGCAGGCGCCCTCCCCTGGGCCCACCCCCCACTCCTGCCAGCGCATCACTACTGACCCCCACCCCACCTGTACCCTCCTCTCCACTCATTTCTCACCTGCCACCCAGCCTTGGGCCCACAGACAAGGGCAGTGACAGTGCATTCACACTATGCTTCCTGTGTCCTCCTCAGAGCATAGTGATGGGGACAGGAAGGTGGCAGCAGTTTCCACAGAGGCCAGCCCACCCTGTGTCTCCTGCGGGTGTGGCCACTAGCATCTGCTGCCCTGTCCTGGTTCCTTGAGGCCTTGTTCCTTATTGATCTTGACTACAGAGCAAAATAGGCGGGTCGGGTCGATAATGGGTAAGGTCACTTACCACGGTTGGCAGAGATGAGACCCAAGCTGCCCTGTGAACTCTGCTCTGTGTGCCTATGTGACCAAGCACCTAGAGGTTCTGCCTGGCTGAAGCCCATCCGACCTGGAGACTCAGTGTCCCCTCCCTGACAAGAGGCTAGTTGCCCCCATCAGGTGACCAGCAAATACCTGTTGCCTAATTACCTGCCTCCCACCCCCAGGCCTTTGTGGTCCTGCTGCTAATTCAATCCATCTTCCATTCCAGGCTTCAGTCCCCAGGGACACTAATGAGGAACCAACCAATGACTGGCATATCCTTACCATAGGCATCCGATGAAGGAGACCTCCTTCGGACATAGCCTAAGCCCCTGGACTGCCCCACAAATGCTCCATCCCTCCTGCCCATCCTGATGCTGCCCTGGTGGATGCTCAGCCTGGCAGGTCTATAGTTCTGCCTTCTGTGCCTCGAATCTATTTCAGGACAAGCATCCCAGACTGAGGCCTGGGTATCCCACCCTATCCCTGAATCGGCAGCTGACCTGTGAGGCCCAAGTGTCAGCACATGGGGTAAACACGAGACTTGGGGTGCATGTGGTAGTTATATATACTTGGTCTCAACTGGAAGATAAAGACATATGCTAAGGACAAGCAGTAGGGGCGGGGAGGGCAGACACAAAAATGTGTTGTTAGTACATGCAGTATGCAAAACAGGATAAATGTATTATAGAAGCCAGCATC